GTTGTTATTATTATTATTATTATTATTATTATTATTATTATTATTATCATTAATATTAGGGTTATTAGTTTGTGGACCATTTCAAATACAGACGTTTTCCAAAAACTCTATAGCCTGAGAAAGGAAAAAAATACTACATGTTGCCCTGAAATTACCCCGGGACCCAGCCTTTTTTCTTTTGACATATACTAGTTACTTCTAACAATAGTTTGTATAAGAAAGTGCACAATCTCGAGTACAATTTTTAACTATTATGTGTTAGGTCTCCCTCCATGCTGACCAATTAAGAAATAATTAGACGTGGAAAAGTCTGAGGACTGTCAAAATCGGACGAGGCTGTAGGTCGCGAGTTCAATTTCACTGGCAGCCAGAGATTTAAAACAATAGACTTATCCCAAACTCGCTTGACTGGTCACGAAACAATGGTTTCAAGTCGAGGTTGAACTTGATGAATAAAAGAATCAAGTTCAGTCTCGACTTCAAACCATTGTTTCGTGGTCAGTCAAGCGAATTCGGGATAGGTCTATTGTAGTTATGGATCAAAAKAATTTTATTCTGAGTTCAAACTTGTTTCTCCATTGCATGTGCTCTCATCTTTCATTGGGCACCGAGTTACAGAAAAAAGCCCTCCTTCATTAGCCAATCATCATCGAGTAATCTTGCCCTGTAATTGATAAAGAAAATAACTGGGACAGTTATTAACAGCTTCTTTAAGAAATCTATGTCAGATCGGGTTTATTTCTATTGAAATTGAGATCCATTTTCGCTGATCTATTGCTTCAAGTCATTCAATTAGCTGACTCTTAATAAACATCCTCAAATAACTCAATAAAGTTATTTATTCGCGAAAACAAATAAAAAAAAMATTTTTAATTTTAATTTTTTTAATTGAAAGCTCGTGCTTGAGTTTTAAACAATGCATAGTTAATCGAATAGAATTGAACAAACAACTTAAAATTATCTTATGATCAATCGATGGGCCGGGGTTTGCATTGCAGGAGGTAAACAATATAATTTTTTAAATTATCATTTATAAAGTGTTCAGAAAGGCCGCCTAAGAATATATTGTTTTCTACCGTTATCTGTATACCTCTCACTGCGATTTCCATTGATACGCGCAGATGCAAATATGGAAATTTCTAGCTGGTTTTATACTTCAAGCCAATTAGTTAAACCGCATTCATAAACTGAATAGCCAATTCGATTTTTTCAATACAATGTTTCGTAGACGCCTCGAGTAATGATTCTCAGTCACGACAACAATTCAATATTTGAGCGTTTGGATATTAAACGAAGTAAGTTAAACTTTTGAACTTATCTATTCCAGTTTAATTTCAGGAAATATGAACTGATGAGACAAGAAACTATTAGATATWTTTTTTTTAGTTGAGCCTTATCTTACGATTCACATTTAAATGTATTGATCACCATCGCTTAATCCTGTCTCACGGCACTCTTCAATTGAAGAGTTTCATAGAAATAACAATGATAGTTAAAGACTGGATTATTCGAATAGATAGAGATCACTTTTACGTGCACGTACGGTCGAAAGAATACGTCATACATGCGAWGCGGTATAAAATATCAAAACCTTTGTGCTGGGCTTTAAATCTGCAACGCAGCGCTTTACTGCGACAAGTTCAATGCATACCGCCAACGTTCAGTTCAGTATTACCACGCTATAAAGAGACCAGTAATTATTTAACACTTATTGACTAGGACCGAGGGAACCAGTATTTTTGTGGATCTGAGATGGTGATGTTTCCTGAGGCGGAGCCGAAACATCGGCCGTCGAGGGTCCACAAAACATCGATAGTCCACAAACTATCAAGTGACAAAGAGAAAGAAACATTTGTCGCATTTTTGGTAGATGCAGAGTCTTTTTCTGTAAGTAGTTGTTGAATTTCCTGCTCTCCACGGTCAGCAAAGCGAGCCATCTTCGATAAAACTACTTTTTACTTATAAATGAATTTTTGCAAACGCGTGCGTGAGGTGATGTTTTTCGTGGTCACGTGACTTCCGGTTTTGATATTTCCCGGTTAACAATGCATGATTTCCTTCTCAGACAACTCACCGGGAAACAGTCGAATTTCTTCGCGTTCACGTGATACACTCTCGACCAATACAAAATTGAGGAAAATTGAGCTTTGACACCTGTATGTTATGTAACGTAATGTAATGTAAGTTATTGAGATGGTCATCAGTATGACAACGATATTGAAGGGCATGGAAATATATATCTTCTTCTTTGGAAAGTGAAGTGTCTAGTCTTAATAAAATCTAATTAATTGTTGCTGCCGGACAACATGGCTACCGAAACTCATCTTCACTAGTCATGCAGCTCTCTCTAACCTTTCATGGCTATCTTACAAAGTATTATCTTTTTTCTTTATATAGATTTTTGACCAGACTATATTCTTTTCATTATGGATGGTTCATATAAACGACTGTCATCAACAGGCTACAAGGCAGTGTCAGTATATTCAGCTTTCCTTCTATTTGCTGGATCCTGCACCCAGTTGATCACGTTCATAGTCCTGCTGAAACGGGAGTATCGCAAAAAAATTCTAACACCGTGCTTCTTAAGCATAATCGCTTCGAACTTTCTTTTACTCTATGGAAGTCTGCCGTTTACTTTCGTTTCCTCTTTGATGAAAGGGTGGATCTTCAATGATAAGATCTGCCATTTTGTTGGATTTGTCGCAGGAACAGGAAGCGTATCAATGATAGCAACAATGGCAGTTATTACAGTRAAAATCTACCTCTTGGTGAAGAACAAGCCATTTGTGGGTAAYAGAATTGAACGCGACAACTCACAAACCAAGGTTCTGCTTGGTGTGTGGTTGTATTCCGTCTGTGCAATGCTTCCTCCGTTGAYTGGAATAACTGAAATGAGCATCGAAGGAGCTGGTACAAACTGCGTGCCACAATGGTCTCCCGAAAACACAAGCGGACGAGTATATGTGATGTTTCTACTGACCATGGCCTACATCATTCCTGTTTCTGTATCGACAATATACCTCGCCAAAATCCGAAAGGTGATCAACAAGAATATCAGTGAAAGCAATTACTACTTTGTCAACCTTTGCTTCAGAAATCTAAGAAACATCAACAAAATGTGCATGTTCGCTGTTGTCTTCTTCACCATAGCTTGGCTGCCTTACGCAATTGTGGTAGTAATTTGCATGTTTGGAAAGAAATCTTCAATCAGCCCAGAAATAGAAATGGCTCCGACGTTGTTAGCCAAGACCAGTGCAATATGCAACCCTTTTATCTATGCTATCGTAAACCCAAAGTAAGAAAWCATTTATTTATCGGTGACCCCTTTTACTTTTACTGAAGAAGGCTAAAGAACTAGCCAAAAACGTATGTCAATTTTTAATTTTCAATTTTAAGTCAGAGTTGTAGCGAGCTAGAGAGTTTCTGCAAACAAGAAACGAATTGTTGCAAATGAGAAACGAGTTGCTGCAAATAAGTTCTATCAGACGAGGTGCTGCAAATAAGAAACGAGTTGCTGCAAATAAGAAACGAGTTGCTGSAAATATGAAACGAGAAAAACCACCACGAAAAACAAGATATTTGAGGCTCTTATATCCTCGTAGTTCCACCAAGCCTTATAAATTTTGGATGGCAATTAATTCTAGGAAATCTAAAGGAAGGAAAAGGGGTGGGAGTGAAGTTAAGATTATTGGAACTTTGAATGTTTACATAAAGTTCTGTAAAAGAAATTCCTTACGACGGGGATAAAAATGGGTCGCTAGCTGCCCCCTTCTCCTCCCGCTTTGGCAGATCTGCGTTGAAAGCCATATTCAACAGCGCGCGCACACTGTCACGTTTTAAACACTAGACAAAATTTGACAATAAATGTTATAGAAGATGTTTTACCGCAAGTAAATGAATTCTTTCTATCGTTTCAGATTCCGAAACTCGGTTTTAAAGCTTTTAAAGTTACCTTTTCAGTTTAATTGTGATGACAACAACTTGGAGGTTGGCAGTGTTTTCGTTCTTAATGAAATAGGTACCAAGAATGGCAATGATAGAAGAAAAATCGTAAAAGACGAAGGTGATGCCGAGAATAAAACTAAAGTGAAAAGCAAAGTCCAAGAAAACAAACCAGAAGAGGTTGAAATAGTTGCTAAAAGCAATGATGAAAACCAAGAGCGTCTTTCCACGAAGAATACTGAAAGCAACCACAAAATTCTTTCTTTTGAGGATCAAATAGATGATAAAAGGCTTGACGACAAAACGGGAAAATACAGAAAGAAGAACTTGTCTAGCGGAAAACGTCGTACGAACGACAGAATTTCAGTATACCAATCAGTTGATGAATTTTTAACTAAGAAAACCTCTTCAAATGAAAACTACCAGGAGGGCACTACATACAGTTCCACAGTTGAAAAACGATTTTCCAAACAGCCAAAGAAACTCAGCAGGAAATTAGATGAGAGAAGTTCAACTTCGTCCACTTTAAATATTTCAATGACTTATCGAATATATAGGACAGCATCTAACGAAATAAAATCACAGAGCATCTCAATACCAGGAGGCATATCAAAATGGCAATGACAAGTCCAATATACTCCAATATATATATTTCAAAAACACATGAATAATAATAAGTCATTGAATCATACGCGTCACGTGCATAAACCTTTAAACCTATAAACGTAAAGTCCTCTTCATTAGTATTTTTTATATCAAGAATACTTATGGGGACGACTTTATCAGCCGGGTGCTTTCAAGTTTAGACGAAGACTTACGTACGATCATCAACGAACCACGAAATATCGTTGTCTAGTGCCCCTGGCTTGAGTTTGGCATGCTGTCTTCAACTTTAAGGCGCCTTTTTTTGGACTCACTGCTTATGGTAATGACGTACAAACCTCACTGGGTATGAGGAAAAGACTGGGTTGAGTTGGCATTGCAGTGCATTTTGGGGCTGTTTTAGGGGACAGATTGCCAAGACGGCGTCTATTTCGTTCCCTAAAACCGCCCCACGATGCACTGCAATGACAACTTGACCCAGTTTTTTTTCAACCTCGGAATGGTCCGATTCAGTAGACCCTTGAAAAATTCTATAGAATTACCAAAAAAAGAAGCGGAAAAATCTCCAATTAGTGCTAGTACATAATAAAAATGATATTGGTCTTTGGGTGAAGGCATATGAAAACTAAAGTAATAATAAAAGGGTAAATATTTTACACCGTGAAAAGATGAAAAAACGTACTAAAAATTAAGTAAGATTTTTCATCTTTTCACGGTGTAAAATTTACCCTTTTATCATTACTGTTTAATTAGAAACACCGACGCAGCTCACACTAGTTTTTAGCTAGATGTCTCTTAAAAACTAATGTGAAATTCATGTAGGGGAACGATGTAAACGTGATCATGGCGATTAGCACCAGAATTTCTAAAAAAATTAGTTCCAAAATATTTCTTTTATATTTTTCTGTTGAGTATAATGAGGTAACGTACGCGTATTAAGAAAATCGTTACTAATGCTTGATTATCATATTCAAGTTGTAGTCCAATCAAGTGATCTAGATCTATTTAAGGAGGCAGAATGATTCTTAATTTTCAGTATATTATATTTTACTTGGCAGTCCGGGCGCCCAAGTAAAGCAAATGACGGTGCCGGAGGTGATGCGGAGGTGATAAATGTATTACATACTTTTTTTTTTACAATTTCCTGCTTACCATGGTGCCACAGAAAACCCAATCAGTTGACAAAACTCCAATCCTTGTTAGACTTTTGTTTGCAAAGTGTAACACATGTTCATCAGGTTTCGTAAATCAAGGTTCATCATATTGATTACTTCTAATGAAACATCGAAAACAATGGTACCGCGGAAAAGTGACTTCGCTTAATACTTAACCCTCGACGTTCAGTTTTTCAACCCACCCTTCTCCCCCACCACACATACACACACTCCCCGCCCATCCTCGACCTATTATTTTACTTTTGTTTTTTTACTAACGATTTTTGTTTTCAAGTACTCATTTGGGGACTTTATTATATTCAAAACGGAAATACAATCACCGGCAAGAATCTCAGTATATTCCAGCTTCAAGTGATTTAACTGACACAACATGATAGTTCGTGTGTCTTGACCGCTTTATGCGCCTGCACATATAGTTGTATAGTTTTTTTATCATTCTGTTCGTTGCCAAAGCTTTCTACTTTATGATCTCCGATGGTTTTCATACCATTCAAATCAGACTTCATTTACTGGCAAGTATATATTTTACAGCATTGGACTCTTACTAGCCTTTTCTTTCTGGTTTAAATCGAAAGATCAATGGATTAGACGGACTGCAAGTCATCATTTTTGGTATGATTCTCTTTGTATTTGTACATATAGGTGATCTTTTGAAAGTTTTCGAAATTGGACGAGACTTTTGAGAGCTTTCAAAGCATCACGAATATCTATCAATTCCGATTCGTACGAGAAGATTGTGATCACACGTGCAGATTTTTTTGTTTATGAAAAAATCAACTTCATTGAGCGACTCGTAATTGGGGCTATACAGAGAGCAAAATCAAAGATTTAATTGTACACTATTTTTCTATCAGAATCAGTAATGTTGTTGAGTTTATTACAAGATTTAAAACCGCCGTGAATTGAAATCGAATACATGTTCCATTTTTGTTTTATCTCAGGGGTTTCAGCTCAACTTCACATCTGATTTTTAATTATATTAAAATTGAAAAATTTCGCGGCGTCAATTACAATAACTGTAAAAAACATCCTTGTTTATCCAAGGTAGCATGCAAAGATATAAGTAATGTTAAACAAAACTGAGAAACATTTTCGAACGCTTTAAAAACACTTCATTTTACTTTATTCCTTTCAATAAATATATTTTAAAAGAAGACAGCATATTTTTGGAGATATCTCAGCTTTCAATTAGCTTTGGCCAATACGCGGTCCGGAATATCTTCAAGCAATATTCCTATCCAGTTCTTCAAATATATACTTGTTTCAATAAAGTTTATAGTCACCAAAAACCTAGAAAGCTGTGATCGCCTAGAATCATGGGAAATGTTTTATATCCAACAAGTAAAGCTTTTGACACAAACTGCAGCAGTTGAGGATGCTCTCAGAGGAGCTGAACTTGTTACTGGTAAAAGATCTCAAGTTCATCAACAGTTATCAAGCGGTTGAAACATGTAAAATGTATCTACCCATAATCCTTATCGATCTCAGCTTCGTAGCTTTTCAGGTGACTAACTTTATTGAAATAAGTATATTCCATCTGTATTTGAATGCATGACTGGATAGATATCCGACAACGTACCAGATCAGTTCTCAAGAAACAACTAAAGTCGATAAGGGCCTTTTTATTTTATAGTATCTACTCCTTGCTCAATTCAGAACAAAAGTTATATTTTGATATACTAAAGATTTACAGTGCACACGAACCAAGGCCACCCAGACAAATTTTCAAATTTCATACAAATTATCCAATCACGATTTAGTATTTAAACAAAAGAATCTACACAAAGTTTACATTTTTTACACTTAAATATTTTGCTTATTTACGTGTTTATGTATGACCAGGAGTGAACGAGAAGCAGTTTATAAGCCCAAGAATGTTACTTAGTATCAAAAACTTTATTTGTGAATTTGATTCAAAATTTGTCTGAGAGGCTATATAGGTTATTTGTAGTCGCACTGTAATGAAATTGCTGGTCAAATAGCCATCAATTTAAAATGAAAATCATTTATCGTTTTCTTTTTGGAATACTTTGATTATCTAACCAAATTATCTGTTTATTTATCTCGTTTAGCTATTCCACAGTTATTTCATTAACTTTATTTTTTTTCTAGCTCATAGATATAATCTACTTTTTCTTTTGAAATGCCAGAAGTTGTTGTAAAGCTGGTTCTTTTTTTGAAGGTCATTGAGGCAAATTAAATATGATACTTTACTCATTCTCTACTTTCACATCCCCATAATACTTTGCGTCTTTGGGGGGTAACCGGAGGGTAAAAACCCACTTATTTTTTGCCGAAGGCTGATCAGACAATGTTAAAAATACCTTGTTTGGTATCCAAAAATAAAATGAACAAGTAAAAAACAGAAAAAGATCGAAGCTTGAAGACGTTTAAGGTAAATTTTAAACATTTTTTCGTAAGTCAATACATTTTCTGTAAGACCAAAACTCTTCATGATCTGTACACGCAAAATAACTTGGAATAAACTGATAATCAGTATTGTACAAATAAAAGCAGGTATAGCATAAGTTCAATTAAGAAACCTTTCAATTTGGGACAGTTTTTTGATTGGTTACCTCCAAAGACGCAAGGCATTATGGGGGCGTGAAAGTAGAGAATGCAATGTTTCTCTCGTTCCAGGCATTACTCAGGGGACAAAGTAGCAGAAATTTGTTGAATTAATTTTTGGCATTACCACACTATTCTGTCGCCCGAGGAAACTGGAAGGAGAGAAATTTTGAATCACGAAGTAGTGTCTTCCGCTGTGCACGTGTTGATATCTTAATTGAGTTCATGTGAGTCTCAAAAATAAATTAATATTTCTTCTAATTTTTTTTATTTCTGTTTAGTATAATGAGGTTCAAACGCGTATTAAGAAGATTAGAGACTTTAAGATTCTCGTTTACGGCAAACGTGAAACGACAATTGGCCATTAAAAAATTCTTTAAAATAAGTGAAAAGGAATCGCAAAAATCTCCAAGTAGTAGATAAACAAAAGAATACTTGTCTTTGTCGAGAAGATTTGCAAAAGGTAAAATGAAATGTAGGGAAACGATGAAAACGTGGTCACGTTTGCCGTTTGCGGGAAGGAAAAACGTGAATCTTAATCTGCCTATTGTCACAAATGTTTGATTGTCGTTCGCAGTCTAATCAACAGATCTAGAGATCTTTAAGGATGACAGCTGATTATTCTTTTATATATCTGTTTAATTTTTCGCAGTTCGGGCCGGGTAGCAAATAACATTGACAGAGATTAAGAATGGGGAAGGCTAGGGGTAAATGTAGCACTAGCGCTAGCACCCCCACGCAAACTCCCCCTCTCATCCTTGATTTTAACTGTGCTGGCTTTTTGCTGATTTTTTTGTTTAATTTCACTAGCGACTTTTGTTCTCAATTATTCATTTAGGGAGGCCTCATATTAACAAAGAAAATATAATCACTGGCAGTCATCTTATTCAAAATTTCAAGTGATTCAACTCACACAACATGATAGTTCGATCGTATTGACCGCCTTGTGCGCCGGCAAATATAGTTGTATTTTCCGATTCTATTCGTTCCAAAAAACGTCCTACTTTGTTTGATCTGTCATTGTCATGATATACTTATTTCGATAAAGTTAGTCACCAAAAACCTAGAAAGCTGAGATCACTGAGGATCATGGGAAACAATTTATTTCAAACAAGTAAAACTTTTTTGATACAAACTTTAGCTTGAGGTAGCTCAGAAGAGGTGAGACTATAACTGGTAAAAGATGAGCAAGTCCATCAACAGTTATCAAGCGGATGAAACCTGTAAAATGTATCTACCCATAATCCTTCTCGCCCTCAGCTTTATAGCTTTTCAGGTGACTAAATTTATTGAAATAAGTATATTATGCAAGTCAGACAAAGTAGAACGTTATACTCATAAAAGCCACTCTCAAAAAGTTGCCTGATACTGAACGCAATTTGCCAATTAATTAGAATAAAAATATACTGTGGCTCAAAGCTATGAACGGTTTTTAAGTTAAAACTAAGATTTTAAGAACTATTCCAAATTTACAGGTATCCAGTGTATTTTCTTTAAGAGAGAACTCTTTTCGTACTCAATTCAAGCAGTGAGCGCCAAAAACTATTTTTTTGAAGAAAGGCTGTTGTACAAGGCTAAAATCTTGTTATTCAGAAAGTTTAACTTGTTTGGAAGTGGAGATGACCGATGAAAGTGGAATCAAAGTGTTAACCCAAAGCAAAAAATTTATTCGAAAATGAGGTTTAGGCCTTCAATTGCTTATTTCCCATTTTTTTATAAATAAGCCTGACAAAGCAACATTCTAACACAAATGCAACAAAACATCTTTGTACAATTGAAAATACCGCTTCAAACAGGCATTTTCATAGTACATCAGTTTCTAACTGTTTAAAAAAGGTTTTGAGTGTTAACCCAAAACGAAAATTGTGATCAAAACTCATACGAAAGTCTAGTATTTGGCGCTTTTTGCCATTATTGCTCATTATTGAAAAAAATTTCCTCTTAAAATATAGGTGTAATATGATCGATGTTTTAAGAATATATCAGCAATAAATTCAAGTTTCATTGTTATAAAAGCACGACTTAGAGTTTCACAAGTGTCAAAAGACACGGGATATATTTACGGATCTTTACAATATGGCGGCGGAAACTGTGAAGAGGACTATTGTCAATGTAAGAGTTTTGCCATAGTAAAAATTTTATCCA